TGTGCCCGCACAACATGTGTGTCAGTGGCGCAGCGCGTCCCTGTGGTGAGAAAATGGCAGTGGGGCACTTTGAACTAAAACACATTGAACGTATTTTATTTCAAAGTGCACCACCGCCATTTTCTCTGCACCACTGATATGCGTGACATGGAAGGCTGCTACAGTAGGTCAATTTCTGTGCTCCACCAGACTTGATTAATCAAGTCTCCCCGCCTGTGTGTAAGTGGCTGGAGATACTGTTTGTATCTGCATCTGACAAGGCTGCATGAGGATAAATCCAGATATACTTGGAAGATGTTACAATCTTGCAATGATGGAGCTATGTTAAAACTTTAATAGCTGATTTTGTGGGTTGACTCTGCTCCAGAGCTCTGAGAATTGTGACCAGCCAGTAATATATTTTTTTAAAGAGTCTTATAAATAAGCTTCCCACTTACAGAACTATCTTTGCTAATCAGCGGTGAAGGACAAAGTCCTTACTCCTCCTCTTTGTTTTCCCATTACTGCGGTCTTGGGAAAGTTGCCAGACACTTATGCAGTGCTTATGCTTACTAAGTGTGGGAACAAGTGTAGAAGCAAACTGTTGAGTATCACTAACTGCCCTAGATGGTCTTTCCACACTCTGCCAAACAGGAGATTTTTAGAAAAACTTCAGTGTTTGCTTGAAATCTGCCATTTTGAAATAACACTTCTTTGGTCATAGAGCTCGCTGAAGCACAATGAGCATTTATAGACTTAATCTGGGAGTGGGGAGCAGGGGCACTTTAATTAGAGTGGAGCGTCACATGTATCAATGTTCCCATGCTGAAAAATTGTGGTGGGGGCACTTTAACTAAAGTTTGTTGAATGAGCTGGGGGCACTTCAACTAAAGCTCATTGAACGAGCTTAATTAAAGTGCCCTCACCACCACTTTTCAGCGCAGGGACTCTGGAGTCTGCTGGAGTGCAGTAATTACCATGTTCCAGCAGATTCAATTAATTGATTCTGTTCTGACATGCTGCATCTCGAAGCAGCCTCCCTGCATGTGTATAGGCACTGAATGGTCTTGACATTAATTTTTGTGTGATTCTGGGAAAATGGTATTGTCAGCTGCTTCAGAAAAAATGGAAATATCAATATCTTCTAGGGGTGTGCAAAGCAGGCCCTATTCGATTTGGATTCGGCCAGAAACAGGGACAGTGATTCGATTCGTTGATTCAGATCACTGTCCCTGATTCGATTCGACCGAACCTGAATCTCAAGATTCAATGGTAGTTCAAAGAATTAGCGATTCGGACATAGACACAGCTTTAAATGTTTTTTCTACATACCTCTAGGTAGCAGGCAGCTTGTGAATACTGTGATGGTGGGGCACATGGAGTGTCTCACAGAAGCATGGGAGTCTCCCCAGCGCACTCAGCAGCAGACCCGGAAGTGGACCAGAAGCACTTCTGGTCCATTTCCAGGTCTGCTGGGGAACACACTGGGCCCTCCCCTGCCTGCATCCCCCTGGCTCAGCGACTGATGTCTCCTGGATCTGGGGAGGGCACCTGGGATCCCCCTGCGGCTGATTGCCGAGCCAGGGAGGCACCGAGGGGCCCCAGCGCACTCCTCGGCAGACCTGTAAGTGGACCGGAAGTATTTTCGGTCCACATCCAGGTTCGCCACCGAGCACATGGGGGGCCCCCCTGTGCTCCTGTGGGATGCTCCATGTGCCCCAGCATGCAGCGATCACAAGCTGCACTGGTACCTCAAGGTATGTAGAAAAAACTTTTAAAGCTGTCTCTATGTCTGAATCTCCAAATCTCTCCGAATTGATTCAGAGGGTTCCATTTCAATTTGGAGAGATAAAAGGGTCCTCTGATTCGATTCGGATTTGGAGATTCAGTCACCGAATTGGGCCGAATCACCACCGAATTGAATCAGGGACCGAAGCTTTGCACAGCCCTAATATCTGCTACAATGCCATAAATGGTTTCATCCGAATTATGAAATATATGAACTATAGATAAAGTAGTCCTTTGCAAGCGCTTAACCTCTTCCATTTAAATGATATCGAAATGTTTTCCAAAAATTTGTGTCTCACACAGTTGCTTGTGATTATATCCATTTTGCATGTGGAAAAATTGAGGGGAAAGTGTATGGTTTATGTAACAACAAAAAATTCACTCACAGAACTCCGGACTGTTGAGCTTCAATTCTGCTTAACCACTAGACCGTACTCCTTCGCTATTATAACATCATACACGCATTTAATGAAATGTTAAGTCACATCCTTATCACTTGCAGCTGTAAAAAGTACTATGGCATTAGATGCATGTATTTTCATAGACTAACACCTCTCACTGGCAGCTGCAAATGGTGTCACACAAACCCATGTCTTTCATTTTGTATTTGCTTTATAGAGGGTGTCTACATATGATGCAACTGAGCAATTATTACTGCATTTATTAGTACATGTATTAGCAAGCACTAAGTAAATGCGCAGTAACTGGAGTTACTGCACAGTAGCACCAGTGAACATCTTTTAGGTGACAGTATTGTGCAGTAGCTTAATAATACTGTGCAGTAACATATTAGTAATATCCATGCTGTGATTCGCTACTGCACAGTATTTTTTGGCTACCATGTAGTCAGCATCTCTTATAGATGCACCCGGAAGGAATAAGAATTGCCTGTTAAGAAGTCTGATGATGTATATTATTAGTTATTATTTTGTAGACTTTGAAAAATTTCAGATGGGCATTGGGGCTTATTCTTCAATTCAAACTAGCATCACTAAGACTACATGATAGCCCCAAGCCAGCATCTTTTTATTGAATTTACCTTTTTGCAGTATTCAGTTACTTGCAAAGAGACACCAAACATTAGGGCAAATTAGTAAAGTACTGTGGTGTTTGCATTTACATGGCTTGTCAAATCAATAGGAAAGGAAAACTGTCTTTCAAGAAATGACTCTTTCTAGAAATTAACTGTTTGTACAAACATTTTTTTGTGAATTGCAGAATGTAACAATGTCCAAGCCTGTCCTGTAGACACAAGAACTAAACTGTAAAAAAGACTAAGCTGCATAAGTGATGAAACCTGAGTAAAATAAAGGAGGAAATATTTATTTTATTCTTTTTCCAGTAGTTGGAATGATGCCTGGAAAAAATTAAGGGAACGGGTTATGCTTCTCTTTCAAGAATGTTTTGTTGAGGTCTTGCAGGGCAATCTGCATCAGATAAGAGTGATCCTTTGGGATTACGTAGGCATTTTATACATAAGAGAAAGCTATTAACATACCCATGACACGGCAAAGTATTAGGCATCCAAAATATCTAGGGAAACAAAATGCGTTGTTTTAAACTTTAATTGTTCATAATGTAGAACCATGTAAAACAGTCACTTGCTTATAAGCCCAAAAACAAAGCATGAAAATGCTGAAACAAGAAATAATTAAAACTTCACTAGATACATCTTTTAATTATATACATGAAAGCATACTTACTGGTTTGATATTATTCTAGTATATCCAATACAAACTTGAAGTAAGTATAGACTCAGCATTAAAAATGCCTTCCAAAATGAAATTTGAAGTATGTATTTGCAGTTATGATGATGCTTGAGTTTGTAGTTTTGATATCAAATATTGGATATTCTAATATGTTGGTTTATACAAATGCTGAATATAGTAAAATATGTTATTATAGTAAAAAAAATACCTTATAGCTGCTCTGAGCCTTTTAGATAGGGTGGGATATAGAACTAATAAATAAATTAAAAATTATATTTAAGTTATAAATTCCCTTCTAAAATATATTTTAGAAATTCTAACACTTTTTACTATTTGTACCCTGCTAGTACAAATCAAACAATTTAGGTATTCTGATAAAAAAGTCAATACATTTCTGAACTATTCATATTTGGGTCTGGTAATGCTACCTTTTACTAACTATAATGTTAAAAATTAATCCTTGAAGGGTTTTTTTGGCAAATTATTACTGTCATTCTTGTTATACTTATTATTACTAGACTACTAAATAATGCAGTCACATCTTATATGAAAAATACATATTTAAGATCACTTTACATGTATTATCTAATAGTTTGATTTACATTCCCTCCTGTTGTGTTTTCTTAATTCCAGGGACTGTGTTCCAACAATATCCACATAATGTCAATAGGCAGCCATGGCAAGCACATTTTACATAGGATTAGGTGTAAAATTAAAATTCAAGAACTAATCATATGATACATAACATCAGAGCTCTATGCAGATGGGTTAAAAGCAGCAGTGCCTGCCTATACCTTCAATTTTTCATGAGTTTTTATTTGTTTTGTATAGCTGTGTGTGTTAGGGAGGCCTGAATGGGTTTTGCATTCTTGTAATTTCCATTCCTGTTGGTTTTTTGGGGTTTTGGTTTTGTCTTTTTTTTAAGAAAGAAGATTGTTTGTTTCTGTGAAACCTGGTTTTGTTCAGTCAGAGGGTAGATGCTGTCTTGCAGGACCGTGAATGGTTTTCAAGTATTTCTGCTTAAGATCACCAAACACCGCCAGCAGTTCCATGTGAAATCTTTTCATCATGAAACGTGCATTACAAAGTATCCTGTGTGAGCAAAAGTCACTTTTCATTAGCTGTGTGATTATGGTGAATGACAACAACAGAAATATTAGTTTGCCCTTAATGCATTTTAAATGCAGTTTTAGAAATTGGTTCCCAAACAATATTACTGAATTAATTGGGGAACTACTCTTACTTCAAGAAGGCCTTGAAACTTTGCAGATGTGAATCATATATATTTGTCAATTTAAAAAAAAAATCACGAGCTTTTTAGTACTCCAGGCTTTGAAATAAAATTCCAAATCCATCTCAGCAATCTAAATGGATTAGCACAATGTGGAAAGAGTTATCTGCACTAGACTGCTGCATTTCATATATAGGGAATCTTAACAAATGTATGCAGAATGAAATTGTGGCACACAGATCCAAAGCATACTACCCCTCAGCTGCTTTATAAATATGCATCTTTTAATCTTTTTACAGCCCATTGGTGCTTTGAACCCAAAGAGAGCAGTTTTCTATGCAGAGCGTTATGAAACATGGGAAGATGAGCAGACTCCACCTTATCATTACAACACCCACTATTCAACATCTACTTCTACATTGTCCTGGCTTGTTCGTATTGTAAGTATATTTGTACATACACACACATGCGCGGACACACACACACACACACACATGTATATGGGGGGTGGGGTTGGAGGTGGAGGGATCCTGACTTTCATTTAGTATATTTACTTCTAATGCTTGCTCTAATATTAATATATATTTAAATTTAGAAAAAATACACTTCTATCCAAAATTCTGTCAGTTTGCATCCAGTAACTAAAAACAATCACTAAGTGTCCAACCTCTATTGGAAAAGATGGAGCATCTGTAAAGTTTGAGATACTGATGGGCCTTGTGTTATGCCATAGGATAATAGGAAAGTCAGGCTGGAAGGGACTTCACAAGATCATCTAATCCAACCCCCTGCCCAAGGCAGGGACATTGTTACCAAATTTGCCCATTACTTTGGGGTGTGCTCATTTATTAGGGATAGTTTCTAGGGTCTTGGTGATTCTGTCAATGTGCTGCTTGTGTTACTATACGGAGCTGTATTTCTCCCTTCTGCAAGCCCTCACCCCCAGTGGAGCTATCTTGCAGGACTCAGTCTCAATGGGACTGGGTTCCTCCAGTCACCAAATCAGTCATACACACAAACACACACAAATTAACGTGACACGCCTGACCTGGCCGGGCTGATCAGCATGGACAGGCTGACACCCTCATATGCCAAGAATCAGTTCATAAGAGCAACAATAAAATGCAGTCAGACACAAGCACACAGGTAAACAGAATCCCTCTGAATCCGGCTGGGTGTCCAGCTGACACCCTCATGGGCCAGCATTCAGTTCATAAGGGCACGTCTGAGTCAAACTGGGTCAATCAGCCTGTACAAGCTGATCCCCTTATGTGTTTCAAACTCAGCACGTCCCAATCTTTGGCCTCTTGATGAGCAGACCCCACAATAATTTGGGCTTCACAGGGATCTTTAGCATAGGTAAAAGAAGCATTGCTGCAGAGCACAGGAGGAAAGAGAAGCAGAGAAGGAAAAATATACCCAATTACTACCAGTTTGACTATTGCTAAGCATATGAAATATATAATAGTACTAGTAGTAATAGACATGCAAAAGAAAAACAAACACCAACAATGACAATACTACCCTGGTTTCACTAAGTATTTGGGGAAACTTAGCTCAAGCTTAACTGATACAGTTCAGGTTCAGAAGTTTATGCCTAGAAAGAAGACAGAGAACGCTGGGATCTCACCTAGTCCACGGTACTCAGGCTGCAAAGCTGACAGGCACAGTCCGTAGCACAATCCTTGAAGAGAAAGATGATCTGTTCTTCCAG